GGCAGGTGCATGTATTCATGGGTGGGGTGGGGTGGGGTGGGATAATAGCGTCCATGGCTCTCTCTTTCATAGGTCATGCTACGCTACTCTATGACTCTATGTTCTCTTAAGCTTTGCATTCATGGGTCATGCTACGGTACTATATGTTCTCTTCAACTTTGCACTTATGGGTCATGCTACGGTACTTTCTGTTCTCTTGAACTTTGCATTTCTTGAATTTTTTGCACTCATGCGTCATGCTACGCTATCGTATGTTCTCTTGAACTTTGCACTCATGCGTCATGCTACGCTATTGTATGTTCTCTGGAACTTTTGCACTCAAGCGTCATGCTACGCTATTGTATGTTCTCTTGAACATGCGTCATTCTACGCTATTGTAGGTTCTCGTGGACTTTGCACTCATGCGTCATGCTCCGCTATTGTATGTTCTCTTGAACTGTTTGCTACGGTACTGCGTGTTCTCTTGAACTTTGCATTCATGGGTCATTCTACGCACCCCTCCGTGACACAATATGTGCTCATGTGGTGCTGGCGTTCAAGCTTACAGCGTCCAGATCCTCAATGGTTCATGGAAGATCTGGATGCGCTGCTCTGACCAAGAAAGGGCTAATAACATGTGACGACAAATGTGTTTCAAGTTGGCCAGAACACCCAAAGATGGCAGTTTCGTGTAGGCGAAATGACTGTTTTCGTTCTACTGCTTGTGAATCAGGGGTTAACGACCTTAAAAATAAAAACGCATAAATTCCTATTGGTGCGGGCACATCAAACATGATCAACAACATCCCATTAATCAAAAAAAAACGGCCATCTAAAGGCCGTGCTCCTAGTTAGATAGATAGGTAGATAGATAGACTAGATAGATAGATGAGATGGACGAGAAAGAAATAAATAAATAAAGAAAGATAGATAGATACCTAGATAGGTAGATAGATAGATAGATACCTAGGTACCTAGATAGATAGATGCCTAGATAGATACCTAGATAGATAGATACCTAGATAGATAGATACCTAGATAGATAGCTAGCTAGCTAGCTAGATAGATAGATAGATAGAATAGACAGGCAGATAGATAGATAGATAGGTAGATAGATAGATAGGTAGATAGATAGATTATAGATAGATACATAGATAGATAGATAGATAGATAGTTAGATGGATAGATAGATAGATAGATAGATAGATACATAGATAGATAGATACATAGATACATAGATGGATAGCTAGATAGGTAGATAGATAGATAGATAGATAGATACCTAGATAGGTAGATACCTAGATAGATAGATACCTAGATAGATAGATACCTAGATAGATAGATACCTAGATAAATAGATACCTAGATAGATAGATAGACAGATAGATAGATAGCTAGATAGATAGATAGCTAGATAGATAGATATATAGATAGATAGATAGCTAGATAGGTAGATAGGTAGGTAGATAGATTCTTTTATATATGGGCCATCGTTGGGGGGGTTTACGAGACCAAGTGGGGTACTTCAAAAAAGTTGAAGGGTTGCATAACACGAAACAAAATTCACCAGGATCAGTGGTGCGCAGGGTCTTGAAATTTGACCCATACTCACTTTAGGTGAAAAGCCAGACAAGTAGTGCATAGCACATGTACCAAATTGTTTCAAATATATGTCAAAACCGTAAATATCACAAAAAGGGTACAAAGGGCCTCTATCTATATATATATATATATGTTTATATTTTTTTTATATATTTGGGTTACTGGGTGTTTGTAAAGCTTCTGCATGGCCAGTCCAATAAGTGGGGTCTAACAGGTTCTAACTCGTTTTCACATGTTTTAACATTCTATAAGTAAGATTTGGCGGGACGCATTCCAGTTTCTAGCCGTGCTGTACTCTGCCAAACCTGAAGCGACAAGCCATCTGCATTTTAACAAGAGAAAATGTTGCCTTCACACCGTCTCCAACCGGACGATTGTGGTTGTTGTTGTTGTTGTTGTTGTTGTTGTTGTTGTTGTGTTTTTTTGCTTACGCCCCCTCCTGGAACATATGAATGATCCAGGTCGGTACTATCATGAAAATCTCAATCGCTCAATTTTCCTATGGTTTGATTGAGTTTCAGGCTTTGTTCATGCAATCGGGAGATACGGCTTGGTGATTGGTTATTGGATGGGCTCCAGTTTTTTAGCATTTTTTTGGGGGAATGAGTGCCCATGAGAAATGAGAAGCCAATTTTTTGTTTGGGGGGTAAATCTGAGGTTGACCATTGCTGTTGGAGATGTGGTGGGGAAGCACGGGGATATCAACCAGCAAAAATGATCAAAAAAGGAGGTGTCATGGTATATCATTCGCTAGGCCCCCCTACAGACAGGAAAGCAAACATTATCAATGCATTTTGGGTGACATAGCGCATGTTTCTGCATGGAACCCGTGTAATAGTAGTCAGTGCCTTCCATAAAAGATCGCGTTTTTTTTCCGCTGTGGAACGCTTAGGCGCTTTCAAGCCAAACTAAAGCATGCAAAGAGGATGGTTTGATGCCACATGTCTACAACATAAAGATTCATTTTGACCAGAGATGTCCCCATGTTTGATTGCCGGAGGGTAGCCATCTACAAGATTCTACAAGCCAGAAAGAATGGGTATTATGTTGAATGCATGTGAGTCAACCCAATGATGCTTGCCACCCAGGCAGCGTTTCCACGCTGTTCAAGAAATGTGAGCTGCATGTTTGGAGGCGAAGCTATGGCATTCGAAAACCCACCCAGGCCTTGGGGAGTGGGGAGAGCAAGGAGGCCAGGTTCCGTTTTATTGCCAGTACTGTCCTGCCATGCAGATCATACATGTATATAGTATGTACATCCAATATATATATATACATATACATCTATGTATGTATGTATAGCATTCAACTGCGCGTTTGTTCGTTTGAGAAAGCACTTGCCAGCACCTAGGTGCAGGTAGAACATCGTTCCTTGCAAACGTGTCCTTATATATGTTGGAGCCTCAAGTCCATGGATGTGATGCACGTTAGGTTTCCTAATAGCTTAACGGCAAGATTTGCCTGGCCCAAATACATTAAAAATATTAAAACATGTGTTTAGAATAGTTTGCTCTCAGAAAAAGATAAATACAGGATGCAACATTTCAAAGTTTTTTGCTGACATTTTTGGGGTTCAGGCTTTAGCCACCCCCAGTTTCACAGCTGAGCGACCCCAAATTCTACATGGATATGTTATTTCATATCTGCTTGCATTCACCCGGAATCTTGACAAGTTGTTTTTGGCAAGATGATGCTCCTTTCATGTTCCGGCCTTAGTTCATCAAATGCTTTGGGGACCGTCTCAGAGAACCCAAGCTTGGCATGCAAAAGCTCTTGCAAAAGACCGAACCGCGGCCCCCAAAATCAAAAAAAAAAATGCGGAAGACAATAACTATAGGAATTATGGTACGCGCTATAATCAAACTAGTCAATGTTGACCAGCAAACATTTTAATTACTAGAGTAAGCGGCGCCGCCTTGAACGGCGAAATGCATTTCCACTAAAAAATCCGTTAATTCCTCTCATATGTTTGATGAAACATCTCCATCACTAAGCCATTTCTTATTATTGCAAATGATGGTAATAATTTTTAAAATCAATGTTCGTGATAAACTAGTTGGACATATCCTTGCTATTGGTCCAAGGTTGTGCTCCCCCCAGCTAAAACTTGGTTGGAAAACACTGGTAAATAATTCGATATATCCACCATGAACCCAGGAGAATTTGAGTTTTGTTTACCAAGTTAGCTACCATAAATCATCTGTACGGCTATATATACCATTAAATCATATTATTTTTTCCACCATTTTTGTTGGTTAAATCCTTATTTATGGGGCACCACTTTGTCAGGTTCGGCTTGCAATACATCTTGGCCTCGCGCGGGCTGGATGGCACCACCCAGCCATTGCAGCTGCATAGCGATTGCATTGGCAACGGAGAGGACCCCTTGGCCAAGACCTTTCAGCAGGTGAGCCCAGGTTTTGATTGGCGATGGAGATTTACCATGTACTTAGATGGGCTGTGGTTTTAGTAACTACTTGCTACAGATAAGTAAGTTATTATTGCTTTACTAACTAGATCTTAACTATATGCTAAGTACCTCCTAATTGATTACTAATCCTTGTAACCTACCTAATGTTTTAAACATAGTTACTATGTTTTTATAATTGTTAGCTAACCATCTTAAAGATCTTAAGAGAACATTAACTACTTAGTGAAGTTAGCTAAGCACTTAGACTAAACCAGCTAATTAGTTAGCTGAGTTAGTTAGATTAAAAACATGTTGAAAATAAAAACTATTTTCTTGTATTTTATAGCTTGCAAATTAGCCTTTTGGGCTCATGTTTGTGCAAATTCACAAATTAGCCATGTGGGCTGATGTTTTTTTGCATTCACACATTAGCCATTTGGGCTCTTGGTTTTGTGATTTAGCAAAGAAGCCATGAGGCTCATCATTGTTGCATACCTTGAGAATTTGATTTTGCTTGGTTCCTGATGTGGATTGTGTCTGGATGAATTTTCAATTTGTGCATTCCATGCACAGCATTTTTGGCTCTGCCTACCTCATGATGGAAGAAGCTTACCAAGTGGACATTGAAACCTCCTATAGCATCCGCTTTGACAAGGGGAAGCTGTTGAGTATTCCAGCTGCTCTGCTGGTGGAGGACATGGGTTAATGCCCAAATAGCCACCACCTAGTTTGAAAGCATGGTTTGAAATTTTCCCATGTTTGGATTTGTGACCTTGCAGGATCAGAAAGGAGACACTTTCCTCAAGCTGTCTGCGACCAACTTCACCATCAATAGCCTGATCTGTGGCAAAGCTGCCAGGAATGCTTCTCTTGCTGGTGGCCCGAAGATGCAAGAGCTGAAGAATTTGAGAAATTCCAAGCTGTCCCACACTCCTGCAGAAGTTCAAGATGAAGAACCTCCTGCAAAGAGGAGAAGGAGCATGGAGACAGTTGTGGAGGTGGATGTACATGGAACTTTAGTTTCCTTGCTGTGCCCCTCCAAAAGGCCACAGGTGGCAGATGTGATGGTGAAGATGGATCCACAGATGCTGTCAGCTGTCTTCAAGTTCCTGTTGCCTGACTGCTTGGAAGAAACTGCCTCCAGATCTTACAAAAAGAGTGGAGCCTTTGCCAAGGACAAGCAGAAGGAAGACTGAAAGCAGAGCTGAGAAAGTGGTATGAAAACCTGCTGCTTTCAGCAAATTAGCCTGCATGGCTGAAAGATCTCTGTGCTGAAATTCATTAGCCCATGGGGCTCAAACCCAATGTAACTGGATGCCTCTGCAGCACATTAGCCTTCATGGCTCAAACTTCTAGTTTTGGTTTGAAATATAGCCCAAGGGCTTTAACCTTATATAGGACATTAGCCTATACATGGCTCATGATGCTGTTGCCTTGGCATTTGAAGCACATTAGCCAGCAGGCTCCAAAGGCTCAAACATGTTGGTTCATTGTGCACATGACATCAAATAGCACTCCTGGGCAATAAATCAATGTTTCTTTGCAGCCATGAGGCTGCTAGTGGCCTTAGAAAGGGATGCAATAGCACCAACAGGAACAATATGGGTGTCAAGGCACAAGGCTTTTTCTGCAAAGTAAATGTGGAACAGAAGATATTCCAGGTTTCAATCATGAATATTTCGGAATGGTGTCCCTTGGGCATTGCTACAAACTGTATAGCTCTGTGTGCCATGGAACCCCAAGTACAAAAGGATATGGAAACCTTGCTCCAGTCCCAGCAAGGGGTCAATGTGAAGCTGAGCAAGATTTTGGACCTTCTGACCCAAAATGGCTTGGCATACCAATCTTGCCTGAAGGTGACAGATTTGCTTTGTCATCCTGACAACAGAGGAGGCAGTATGGTTCAAGCACATGACTGTTGGAAGAAAGGGTCCCTGATCCTTGCCAGTGGATTGAAAGAGTCTTTGCTGCATGCAAGTTCCATGTGCATTGAGATGGGCAAAGCTGCCAAAAAGAAAGTGCAAGTGGAGAAGAACATTGCCTTGATGCAGAGCTCAGAGAACCTCTTGGGCCATGTGACACATAGTGAAAGGTACCTGACCTTGGGAAACTCACACTTCTGCATGTTCCTGAGGGCATGCGAACAAGGGTGTGTGTCAGCAGCTGGGGAGAAATTGGCTTTGGGAGAAGACTTAACAAAGCTGATTGCCAATGGATGGGTCTGGGCTGTTGTGAAAGCAGAGGTGGAGGAAGCTTTTCCTGCCTTTCCAGGATGGGCTGCCAGTACCATGAACTCTGCCAACTCCAACACCAAGATGACTTCTGAGTTGGAAGCCATGCTGGAGATTGCCAGCCTTTTGAAGCAAGGCAGAAAGTTAGATGAATGTGTGAAGGCTGTCAAAGAAGGTTTGCCTACCTGTGGGGAATACATGGATGACATTGCATACTTTGTGAAGCTGTATTCTGGTGGGGATGCATTCCCAGTTCTCCTCCTCCTGAAGGATTTTTGCTTCTTGGATCAGAACTAAATGATGTTGCAGGTGTTTTTGGCATAACTTGCAAGCTTAAATAAAACAGAGCAGCCTTCAGGCTCAAATAAAACACATTAGCCTTGAGGCTCCCGCTGTAGAGCACATAAGCCTTCAAGGCTCAAACAAAACACATTAGCTTGCAGGCTTCACATAAACTCATTAGCCTTCAGGCTTCAAATGCAGACAATATAGCCTTTGACTGGCTCCAGCAGCCTGCAAGGGCTCAAATATTCTCTGTAATTTGCTGCAAACTGCAATAGATTTGAGGCTCCAAGTATGGCCCCAGCATTTTGGCTGGCTCAGAGATGATGTTCCAGCTCAGCCACTTCGATTTCAAGATCAAGGAGAACAAGTTGCCTATGACCAGGGCAGCCTTGCTTTGCACAATTTTGACTTCAAAGAGACATGCTGATGGCATTAGCAAGCTGGTGTTCAAAGCAGATTTGGACAAAATGAAAGGAAGCTTGAAGGACAAGACTGTGAAAATGGAAGGGCTGCTGAAAGAAGGATGGAAGCAGGTGCAGCAGCACACTGGTGCTCAAGCCTTCAAGGCCATGTGCTTTGGGAAATTGTGTGTGAGATTGGTTTTGCACCTCTTGTCCAAGGAGAAGCATTCCAGAGATCATCCCTTTGAAAGTGCGCAGGCGATTGTTGATGAGTTTGCAAATGACTTGCTTAATGGGAACATGCAAGCTTCTTCAAGTGTGGCAGCTGCAGCAAAGGCCAAGGCAGGCCCAGCTTCAGCAAATGAGGTGAAAGACTTGCTGAATGCCAGTGCAAAAGCTATGGCACAGCTGGAGTGCCCCCACCTGCTGCTGGATTGTTTCTATGTGAACCCTACTTTGCATGAGGAAAAGGTCTTCAAGCTGAAGAGCTGGACTGAAAGTGCTGTGGAATTCATCCACACACCCATCTTTGGACCTGAGGAGTCTGAGTTGTGTGAGTTCAGCAAGCTGAATTCTTGGAAGGCAACCAAAAAGGCATGCCCCAGCGATGTACCCAAGAGATGGCTTTGCTGAAAGCTGTTCACACCTCTGAATGTTTCAGGGCAGACTTGAAGAAAGCAGAAGTCCAGAGCTTGCTGTTGAAGGCTTACAAAGACCATGTGGGCACTGTGCACAATAGCTTAGTCTTTGCCCATATGCCTGCACCAGCTCTGTTTTGCGATGTGAAAGTGAAGAAGGGTGCATTGACTTTGTATCCTGCTGGCACCATTCAAAGCCTGAAGGGAAAGGACTTGAAGAAGGTCAAAGGAGTTGTGGTGGAATATCAAAGTGAGCACTTCTTGGTGCAGCCCTACAAGGCCTTCAAGTACTTTGATGATGATTCAGCAGATGGTGCACTCATTCCTTACAATTTTGTTGGAAAGACATCTGAGGAAATGGATGTGACCATGGTGGTCAAGATGGTAACCTATGATGGATTGAAAATTCCTGTGCTCACAAATGACAAGGCTTTGACAGCAGAGTCCCAACTGCTGCAGGCAGAACCTTTGGATGATGAAGCCTTAAAGGCTCCTGCCTCTAAAAAGAGGAAGCAGGGCTGAGAAGACTTGCCTGCCTTGAAAATGGGAGCATGGCTTCTACTTGTCTCTGCTCTTGCTTCTATAGCCTTCAGGGCTGAAGCAGATTGTCTTGAACACTTCATTGTTATATCTTCTGTCTTTTCAAACTAGCCCCCATGAGGCTCAAGTAACTATCTTCTGTCTTTTCAAACTAGCCCCCATGAGGCTCAAGTAACTCTTGGGTCCTCTGCACTTGTGTTTTTGACATTAGCCTGTGGGGCTACTTCACATTAGCCTATTTGGCTGAAAAGGTCATGGCCTTGCAGACTAGCCCCTGAGGCTCCATGCAAATTAGCCCCTGAGGCTCACACATATCTATTGTTTCTAGTGTTTGCAAACTAGTCCTTGGGGCTCAAACACAGGCTACTGTTTCATGTTTATTAAAGCTTGTGTCTATTTTTTCAACTCAAGGGAGTTTGCCTGCAATGAAGAGGCATGCCGAAATCTCCATACAAACCTTGCGGGATTCTACCTCTCAGGAGGACAGCCATGGCACTGAGCTGGATGCCTTGATAGAGCAGGATGGGGTTTTGTTTTTCCATGTATTTTCCAATGTATTTTCCAATGTATTGCTGAAATATGTTTATTTACCACTGCTCCATGTAACCATTGGTGTTTGTGTTGAATAAAATTTAGTTAGTGTTTGCATGCATCTGGGTCTTGCACTGCTCCAGAACGAAGCTGCTCTGGCAGAGTGTCTGCAAGATCCTCCTGAAGATGCTGGGCAAGAGAGGGTGGCTATGCGAGGCTTTTTTGAGGACCTTATCACAAGAGATGACAAGTCAGAGGAATATGATCCTTTCAAGGAAGAGCCTGCACTCACAAGAGATGACAAGTCAGAGGAATATGATCCTTTCAAGGAAGAGCCTGCACTCACAAGAGATGACAAGTCAGAGGAATAT